TTGCTTTGTAACTCTCAGCTGGAGCTGAAATCTGACTCCTGTGGAAGTAAAGCCTCCTCTCCCTTCAGTACAGTGGTGCCCCGCATGACAATGACCCCACAGAACGACGAAACCGCAGGACGATGCCTTTTTGCAATCGCTATAGCGATTCGCAAAACAGGCATTTCAATGGGGGAATTCCGCTTTGACAATGACTTGGTCCGTGCTTGGTCTTCGCAGACCATTTAATTGCAAAACGACAATCTTTACAGCTGATCGTCGGCTTCACAAAATGGCCTCCCGCTGTTTTCCGGACCCCTGCTTCGGAAGACAGCGATTAAAAACAGCTGATCGGCACTCGCAAAATGGCTGCCCTATTGAGGTTCTTGGCTGGACGACGAGGTAATTTCCCCATTGGAACGCATTGACCGGTTTTCAATGCATTCCAATGGGGAAACTGTTTTTGCATGATGACGATTTCACTGTACAGCAATTTTAATGGAACGGATCATCGTCATCATGCGGGGCACCACTGTATCTGCTCTGAAGGATTTATTTATGGAACTGTGGACTAGGTGGCACAGGAAGGGACCAGGGGAAGTTGGGAATTCACAAAGACCACCCGCCTGGACTTCCCTCAGTGTGGTGCTCTTATCATTAAAGAGAAGCTGGACTCAACTGTGTTTGCTGGGAAAACCATATCCATTAGGTAACACACTAGCATAGGCATTATCTCTGTGATGGCACCCCATAGGAGGATGCTGTCTCTGTTTCAGCCTCTCCATACACGTGTCCATAACCCTTTAAATAACAATTTTAAGCATAGGCATGAGGTAAAGGATTGCTGGAGGCAAGATTCTGCCTGTATCAAATAACGTCTCTGCCTATTAACATCTGCAGGGGGACTTTTGACAACCGAGATGTCGCTGTGAAGAGGATTCTTCCTGAGTGTTTTAGCTTTGCTGACCGGGAGGTGCAGCTGTTGCGAGAATCCGATGAACACCCAAATGTGATCCGCTATTTCTGCACAGAAAAGGACCGGCAGTTCCAGTACATTGCCCTGGAGCTCTGTGCGGCCACTTTGCAAGAGGTGAGCTGTGGCTCCTACAGGACGCGGTAATGGCTTCCAGACCAGGAGGTGCAAGTCTTTCAAGAAGACACCTTGATAGCTCCAACATACCTCATTTCGTCTTTTATACTTAATTTGACTTAAAAGGAAAAACAGTGGTTCTTTGCCGCTACTGAACTAGTTTTGGCAGTAGCAGCAGCAGCAGGAAAAGGATCCCCAGAAATGGCCAGAAAGGGGTCATAGGTTCCACAGGCTTTTATGTTCCCTACCTCTGACCTGGGTGGGATTTTCTGTTCCCTATGGGGACTGCAGCAAATGGCAATGGAATCAACCTAGAGACACAATGGGCAGCTACTGTTCTAAGCCTAGTCTATATTTGTGATTATATATTATTTAAGTTGAGCATACATATGAGAACATAAATAAAACCCAAGGAATGCCCTGCAAGCTTCATAACCCACTCCTGTGCCTGCTTTATTCGGCAGCAAATCCCACTCTGTTCAAGTAGGGCTTGTTCTGAAAGGGCCCTGCCTAGAATTGTAGGCTTATCATCATACTCATGATTTGGTGTTGTTTCTGTACATTCTAGTACGTGGAACAGAAAGACTTCCATCATCATGGTTTGCAACCTATTGTCCTTTTGCAGCAGACAATGTCTGGTCTGGCTTATCTGCATTCCCTTAATATTGGTAAGAAACCATTTTCATATCCAACTTCACTGATGGGTGATTTTTCTTTTGATAGGAAGAATAGCTTGTTTGAGTGCTTAGACCTACAAAAGCAAGCAAAGGTCTTCTGTGGTTATATGATTCCCCTTATGGAACTAGTTATTTTTAAATCTGTTGCTGTTCAGCCTGCAAGAAAATCAGAAAATGTAGATTTTGGCCACAGCTCTTCCAAATCACTCTGTATCAGCACCATATCCAAGGCTGGTGGTGATTTCTTTCTGCCACCATTTAATTACCATGTACAGTTTATCAAAGGTCATCCAAAGGATTTGAATTATGGCTTTAGGATTTGAATTCAGACTTTACAATCCAGTTTTCTGTTTTCTTGACCACACTCGGCTTTTTCAACTGTGGGTGTTTTCAAATTATTCTGTGCTGTTCCATTGGGCATTGAGTCACATATTTCAAGATAGATCTGCTATAAGCTGTAGCACAGCTGATTACAAATAAGGAAGCAAAAGAAATTATTCTCTTATGTAGGAAAAACTTCTCAAAAAGGGCTAGCACTTAATGGCTGAAATGCTGTTGCTTAGTATAGTAATAATTTTAGAAAAGGTAGCTGAGGGAGTCTGTGCCAGCATGTCAGGCAAACAAAATGAAAATGAAAAAAATGAAGAGAAAACTGTTGTGAACGTAAAGACTAACTGCTATATTTTAATGTGAGCTTTTTGTGGACAAGTCCACTTCTTCAGGCTGAAAATATTTTCTTTGGAAGAAAATATGGTGGCATTTATTTTTACCTACACAGAGAGAGAAAGGGGGGGGGGAGGAATCGGGAAGTCCTGTGTGAATAAAACATACCTGTAACTGTCGAGTTATAGAGATGAAGATAAATATTTTCAAGCAGAGTTTTTATTTATTTATTTTGTTTATTTAGAGTATATCAAATGTTTTTTGTATCAGTCCACAGAGACCTGAAGCCCCACAACATCCTCATCTCGATGCCTAACGCCCACGGCAAGGTCAAAGCCATGATTTCCGACTTTGGCCTGTGTAAGAAGCTTGCAGTAGGCAGGCACAGTTTCAGCCGGAGATCGGGAGTCCCAGGCACCGAAGGCTGGATAGCTCCAGAGATACTAAGCGAGGACTCCAAAGAGAACCCGGTAAGCCAGCAGCGTCTCTAAGGATTTCCTCCCTTATCCTTTGCTTCCAGTGATTTTAGCCAGATATATGTTCTTAAACAAGCCTCCGCTCTGTGCAACTCCCTTTGTCACCCTTTCTATCCAACCCACATAGAAAGAAATGCATGATCGAGATCACGCATCAATTGGGATGTTTTAACTCCTTGGCTTAATAATGATCGTTTCTCTGAGGGCAAAGAGAGTTTATTATGTTGGCACTAATTCATGTTCAATGTCTTGAAGACCCCCAGAAATTAAAAGATTTCGTTACCTACTTTGGATTTCTACCCCAGTTCCAAGCTGTGCAATGCAGGTTTTGTTCTAAGGCAGTTTAGATTATATTTGAGGGTAGTCTTTATTTTTTAGAATTCCACTGAGGAAACGCCAGTTTGTTCCGTTTACTACTTTCATCGTGGACCTTTTCCGTGTTCTCCTTGGTGTGTTAAAGGTGTTACGCTGTAATCTTCATTTTCAAATCCTCCTTTCTACAGACCCACACCGTGGATATTTTTTCAGCTGGCTGTGTCTTCTTCTATGTGATCTCTGAAGGCAGCCACCCTTTTGGCAAATCCCTGCAGCGGCAAGCCAACATTTTGCTGGGTGCCTACAGCCTGGACTACCTAAATCCAGAGAAGCATGGTAAGGCAAGCAAACATTTTTTTGCCCAAGCTGCCCTTCTTAGAGTGGAGGTAAAGGGTGGGCAACATCCTTCTTTTTCTGCATGAGACTGAGGAGTCTGGAGCTGGCTTGTGGGGCTCTGGGGGTGTCTCTCAAAACATTCAGCCACTGATTTGTTCAAAAGCATCAAAAGGCTTTACAAATTTGTAGAGCTCCTAAATTTTAAAAACTGTTTTCTTCTTCTTACAGAAGACATCGTTGCTCGAGATTTAATAGAACAGATGATAAGTACAGATCCTCAGAAGCGTCCTTTGGCTAACTGTGTGTTAAAGCACCCGTTTTTCTGGAGTTTAGAGAAGCAGCTCCAGTTTTTCCAGGTCAGTCATGACCCCTTTCTTCTCCTCCTCTGCTGTTTAATTATATATTTGATAATGTAGGTCTGTACTAGGCTATGTGCTGAAACAGAGATTATAAACTGTATACTGTACAAAATGGGGAAATGATGGCTGTTTTTTAGTTGGCTGCTTGTTGTGGCTTTCTAGAAGGAACCCATCCAAGTGAGAGCTTTTCTTTGAAACCGCTGATTCTGAAGCCAGGAAATAATCCTGTAGTCAGAGGTTTGTGAACGTTCTAGTTCTGGAGGAACACACACATACACAAAATCCAGAATCTGACATTCAATAAAGAATCCTGTTTCCCGAGGATTCCAGTTTTCTTCCTTTAGAAAAGGCAGGATTCTAAACCTAGGAGTTAGTCTGCAGACAATGCCCTGTCGCAGTCACAGAAGCCAGGGTGGTGATGGTGACTGAACACGATTTCCTGTGGTTGAGGAGGCAGGGCTCCTAGTTCCTTGGCCCTCCCCAATAGTTAACCAAACTGAAGAACACGAAGCAGAACAATATACACTGTGCAGTAAATGATGCAAAATCAGCAGGTTTTGCTAAGCAATTCGGTTTAAGTTACGGTATACATGTACCAGAATTTGTTTTGGTTTTGGCAGCTCTTTTAGAGTGTATGTTTTAGATTGGGAATTGACATTTATATTTACTAATTTTAGGGTGGACTGCAGACTGGGGGCAATAAGGCACTTGCCTGTATCATAAGGCACAATACAGAGGAAAACCTTTGTAGCCTTGCAAATAGTGTGATGGGTGTCCTGTCCAGGTTGATAGCAAGGCCCCTTTGGAGTGATGCTTGTGTTTTGAGAGACACTGCCAAGAACCATAGCTCTGCTGCTGTCGGAGGGGCAGGCACTGCCTCCTGCTCTCTGCTCTCCACCAGGACGTCCTCTTGAGCCTCCTGCTTTCCCTGCTGGAGGACAGCATCCCTCTGTCCTCCTCCTGATGTGGGGCAAGCTGACCTCTCAACCTCTCCTCCCTTGAACTGTTGCTATCCACCTGTCTTTATACCGCAGCTGAGGGAGGAGGGAAAGCATAACCTGTCCTTCTTTCTACTCTTGACCAAATGTGTCCCTGAAGATCAAAACCTGAGATGCTCCCCCTTAGTTGATGGGAAGCCTGTGCACCTTCGTACATCTCTGCTGCTTCCCACTGCTGCCCCTTTTCTACTTGGAGTCTTGAGACTCAAGTCAGATGTGCCGATTCTTCAGTCTGTTCATCTTGAGGCTCCAGGTGGGAGAGGAGCCTCAGTCAGTGTTAAAGAAGAAAATCCCCACCTGATTTGCACAAGTGTGCCCTCTCCATTGCAGGACGTGAGTGACCGAATAGAGAAAGAATCTTTAGATGGCCCAATAGTCAAGGAGCTTGAAAGAGGAGGAAGAGCAGTGGTGAACATGGACTGGAGAGAGCACATCACGGTCCCTCTACAAACAGGTAAAATATTTTATTGTACTGCTTTCAAGAGAATGATCTGGAGCCGTTTAGTTCTCTGTGTAATGCTGTTGTTCTCTAGTTTAAAGAAGCAATTGTTTGTGCAGAAACAAACCCAAGCTCTTGATCGTTTTAGGTGTTTGGTTCCCAAGATAAAACAATTGCAGTCATCTAGGGTTTGTTTTGTTTTTTAAAATTCAATTGTGCTTAATATTTTTCTGCAGATCTTCGAAAGTTCCGATCCTATAAAGGGGGCTCAGTAAGAGATCTGTTGCGGGCAATGAGGAACAAGGTATGTGTGTCCCAAGAAGCCAACTAAATGATGCTTTTGAAGGGATGTTTTGAGAGTGGAGAAGAGCAGCTTGATCCTGTCTTCCTCTTGGTTGGCCTCCTTTGCATGTGTTCACCTAACTGCCCTTCCTTTCCACTTATGCAGGAAGCTCCTGGAGCAAAGGTCGCTATTTATGTCCCGATACTCTAAACCAGTGGTTTCCAAGCTTGGCCCTCCAGATGTTCTTAGACTACAGCTCCCAGAAGCCTTCACCACCACCTCTGCTGGCCAGGATTTCTGGGAGCTGAAGTCCAAGAACATCTGGAGGGCCAAGGTTACTGCTTGGTCTTCTGAGCCTGCAGCACAGGCTTCTGCGGTTTAGCCCACAACGCCACCACGTCCGCAGCTATTTATGTCCTGATACTCTAAACCAGTGGTTTCCAACTTTGGCCCTCCAGATGTTCTTAGACTACAGCTCCCAGAAGCCTTCACCACCACCTCTGCTGGCCAGGATTTCTGGGAGCTGAAGTCCAAGAACATCTGGAGGGCCAAGGTTGGACACCACTGCTCTAAACAGTTTGTGCTCCAATTTGGTGTCTCTGCCAGCACTTTAACTTAGATGCACCTCTTGAATTGGACTGAAGTAGGAAGAACAAAAAGAGAAGATTGATTTCTTTTCCTTGTCGCCTTTATGTCTTTTTCAGCAGGACAAGTTGGAACTTTGGGGGGAAATGGCTGTCCTACCATGTAGCTTTGAAATGCAAAGCAAAAGCAAAGCGTGCTGCTTCTGATTTCTTTTCCTTGTAGCCTTTATGTCTTCTTCAGCAGGACAAGTTGGAACTTAGGGGTGCGATTTACTTTGTGGGGAAGTGGCTGTCCTGCCATATAGCTTTGAAATGCAAAGCAAAAGCAAAGTGTGCTGCTTATATACCGCCCCATAGTGCTTCAAGCACTTTCTGGGCGGTACAATGAGGTCTTGGCCTACGGAATTAATCCATATTGGAACGGAGGCTACACATTGCCTCCCCCCCCAGCAAGCTGGGTACTCATTTTACCGACCTCGGAAGGATAGAAGGCTGAGTCAACCTTGGGCCGGCTACCTAGGATCGAACCCCAGGTCATGAGCACAGCTTTGGCTGCAGTACAGTGGTGCCTCATTTAGCGACGTTAATCCACGCAGGAAAAAACATTGCTAAACAATTTATTCACTAAGCGATTTTAAAAAGCCCATAGGAACACATTAAAACGTGTTTAATGCGTTCCTATGGGCTAAAAACTTACCTTTAAGCAAAAATCCTCCAATAGCGGTGGCCATTTTGCGTGTCTCTAAAGCGAGGCAAAACAGCGGTCACCATTTTGTTTTTCCAGCAGCCATTTTGGAACCGCCAATCAGCTGTTAAAAATGGGTGCTTTGCCATGATCACATCCCCGCAATCATTGCAAAGCGATTTTTACCCATAGGGGCCATCGCTAAGCGATCGCTCTGGCGATGGTAAAAAGTCCATCGCTAAGCGATTTTGCCGTAAAACAGAGCGATCGCTAAGCGAGACACCACTGTACAGCGGTTTAACCACTGTGCCACGAGGCTCTCTATGAAATGCACGTAAGTTGCAGAATGAGTTGGAGAATCCACCTCAGTCCCAAACAATTCTGGTAGAACAGCAAGGAGGGAAGGATGGCATCGCACCTTCTTCTCTGTTTTTCCTCTCAACAGTTTCTTCCACATTGGGAGAGCAGTTTTTTTGTATGCATAAAACTTCCTCCAGGTGAAAGGTTTCAGTTATCAACCAAGAAGGCTCCGGCACTGGATCCTGCTTTTCTTGGCCTACGCATCCCATGCCTCCCAGTTTGCCCTCTTCTCACCTTTTCAAAGTATTAGAATTCAGACACCAGAATGTGCTTAAGGAAGGTCTAGGATTGGATCCTTTCCAAGAGCTGATTTAGCCTCTGGAAATGATCCATAGCCTATTCAAGGATTGACAATATAGTAGCCTAAAGCTTTTTTATATTGTATTAAGGGAGATTCCATTAAAATGCTACATAAAATATGGGAATTTCTTCCAAACTTGCAATTAATTTCTTTTCCCCTTCTTCTTCCAGAAACACCATTATAGAGAACTGCCCCCTGAGGTGCAGGAGACACTGGGATCTGTCCCAGATGATTTTGTACGTTACTTTACACAGCGTTTCCCTCACCTGCTTCTGCACACCTACCACGCCATGCGAATCTGCTGCCAGGAGAGACTCTTTCAGCCTTACTACATGCAGGACTCTGAGGAGCAGGTTTTGCCTGGCGACGCTGTGTGAGACCTTGAGAGGCCATGTTCTTTGCACATTCAGGGACTGTGAAACAGGCCTGTCCTTAGCAGGGTGACTGGAGGAATTGCCAAAGAGCAAGAAGCCTCTTTGGGAAATCTAGACTTACCCAATGTGCCTTGTACTCCTCCCTGCTCTGACTCAGGAAGAGGACCCCTGGTTGGAATCCAAGGAAGAAGACGCGGTCACTTGCACATAGCTTTATATGGCAGAAGAGAGGAGCAAGCAAAAGGCACCCCTTAACAAAGAAAAGCAAAGTGGAGTAGCCTGTAGCTTGGCTACAAGTATCGTTATGATAGCAAATGCCTCTACTGCGTACTCTTTTTATGCTGGCTTTCAGGCAACCTTCCTGCACAGAATCAGTTCGTTATTTAAAAATTGACTGAAAGAAACCCTAACATTGCCAAGCACCTTCTGGGGCTCAGGAAGGGCCCTTCTAACCGTAAACATTTCCGTCCCACTCTTGCCCCAATGCCATGTTGTGCACTTCAAGCAGTCACAGGAATGGCTGCTTTTCTGAAAGGGATAAGGCAGGTTATACATGCCAGGCCCAACCACAGAAATGGAGCAATTACATGGAAAGGTATAGACCTTCGAATATTAGTCTCCAAATATTTTTGTAAAGGCTTACAGCTGTCCTTGAAATTGTTAACTGGAAATACCAATGCAAAGTCTACGGCCTGACAGAGGTGTAATACTGCACTTCTTTATATATATTTTTTAAAACAACACATGGATCCAGATATTTATGGAGCAAAGTTTGCCTCTGGTTACAGTACTGGAAATCTCTTGGGGTTTGGGCGGGGCGGGGGGGGGAATTGTTCAGATGTCCTTTCTGGTTTCTTCACAAGGATGTGTCACGTGGAATCTTGAAGGATGATTCCTACACTCGTGGGAGGACAGGCCGCTGGGAGGTTGTGAACCTTCCTTTTGGCCTGTGGGAGAATGAGATCTGTCCAGACCGGCCCTGCCTGGATGACAGGGGAGAGCTCCTTGCGGTTTTGCCAGGAAATAAAAAAGAAGCACTAAGCAGCACCTGCGATCCACAGGATGCAAAGCTGCTGCTCCCCGCCCCCCCCCCACGTGACCCCAGAGAGGGGGATAAAGTGTGCCGGCTCTGGCACTAGTATATTTATTTTCCCCTCTCATTTACACCAGTGGGGAGGGAGAAATGTAGAAGAGTAACAAGGAGGTTTCTAAAAAGTGGAGAGGGGGCGGCAAAATACATATCACTTTTGCCATGGCTAGTATGCCCTCAAGCAGAGCTTAGAAAAGGACCGTTCCTCCACCACAGAAAGTCCCCCCCCTGTGCCGGCTCTGGCACTAGTATATTTATTTTCCCCTCTCATTTACACCAGTGGGGAGGGAGAAATGTAGAAGAGTAACAAGGAGGTTTCTAAAAAGTGGAGAGGGGGCGGCAAAATACATATCACTTTTGCCATGGCTAGTATGCCCTCAAGCAGAGCTTAGAAAAGGACCGTTCCTCCACCACAGAAAGTCCCCCCCCTCTCTCTTTGGGCTCCACAGAACTGCTGTGCAGGTGGTTCCGCCAGAGGTAGGACTTGGCAGGAAAGAAAAAAAGATTTGCTCATATTAGAAATATAGCAAAAGCTGAGTCTGTCCATCTGGTCGTTTGTTATGCAGGGAAAAATATAGTTTCTTACCTACATGAGATCTCATGAGAAGCTGAATAGAGAGATGTCTGCTTCCCATTTGGAAGGATGCAGTTTTCCTTTGAGGTGTCCCAGAAACTATGATGCCCAAATGCCTGTGCAGAAAGCATCGGTTCTCCTCTACGAGGTTCTAAAAGTCTGACAGCATATTTGTAGTATTCTTTTACAAAATATTTATTTCACATATTTATATTTATTTAATTTTTACGAGAGAGCGGTACCACATTGACATGATGAGAGTGTAAAACATGCCAAATCTTTTCTACTGATTTTAAAAATAAAATCCTCTTTGGTGCAGTCATTTTTTTAAAAGTGGACAACCAAAGGGGTACTGCATCTTTTCAACCAATACGTGTGTTTTCAATCAGGACAAAATGTTCTAATACAAAGGAAGCTTTCAATATGTATGACTGTACTCTTGTGTGTCTTAAATTAGTAAATTATTAATGGTTAATTGTATGATTGGGCATTGATCTGGGGGTTTTTTTGTTTTGTTTTTGTTTTGCTTTGTCTTCTAATCATTTTGAGCCTTACATTACAGGGAAATGGATTTTCCAGTTTTATAATGTAATAGCAGATATTGAGATAGGATCTCCAGAGAGGATATTACAGGATGTAAAAGCTTGAAAATGACAGTAGTCTTAACCTTAATTGAAATAATATTTCTTATTTTTGTAGCTTTCTTGTACAATACAATACTTTTATATTTCTTCAAAATAAAAAATTTCACACAAATAAAAATAAAAATGGACATGGAAACAGTAGTCCAGTGGTCCTTCCTTTTAAAATGGCATGCCCAGTCCCTCTCTGTATGGGCAAAGGACATTTCTCTCTGTATGTCCTTCAGCATCAACTTCAGAAATAGGAAGAGAGGATTGTTGTCTATTCCTTACTGAAAAGCTTTCAACATCACTGTATTTCCCACAAAACATAAGGAAGATGAACACAGCGTAGAAGCAATGACAGAGCCATAACCAGTTGCTCAGTATTACTGTGACACTTCCCACAATATTAGTTCTACCCTCCCAGCCAATTTAAGCAGGTCTTAGCACTGTAAAATCTAGACCCACTCTTCCACAAATCACAACCTTACCATAATATATTTCATCTCTGCCCTGGAAAGCAGGTATGAGTGAGGTAAGCTGGCTGTAGACAAGGAGCAAATTTCTCACTAAAGAGAACCTAAACAAATACTGTAGCCATGGCTAGAGATGGGCACGAACCGATTCGTCCTTTGTTGTTGTTTAGTCGTTAAGTCGTGTCCGACTTTTCATGCCTAGTTCATCCCAGTTCATAAAGGCGGCAACACAGGTCCAGATGCTCCCCTCCTCCAATTTAAACAGGCACTCATCCAGTCCACCTTGCTTGTTTTTTTTCTACCTCCTCAACTGATCTTCCAATCCTGGCAGCAGCTCAGGCATCTCTCCCCTGCCCTTTTGGTTGTGCTCTTGACAAGAACTCAAGACAACAGAGAGGGAAAGAATTGTCTGTGCTCTTGCTCATGACTGGGAGATTAGCTGAGGAGGTGGAAAAAAGCAAGCAAGCTGGGCCTGGTGAGTGGCTGTTTGAGCCGGAGGAGGCGGGGGAAGGGAACAGCAGCACCTGTGAGGCCACCTTTACCACCCGGGATGAACAGGTTCGTTGTGCCCATCTCTAGTCCTGGCATCTCAACCATTAACATAGTTCTTGTGCCGTAACTTGAGTCAGGTGGTCCTGGAATTTTCTGCCAAATCCTTGATTTGAACAAATATACCAACCTGGTCTCCAATACTAGATGGATAATCCTGGGGGAATTCATCTTTCTCGGTTTTGCCCACCTTGGTTTGCTCTGCAACAGCAGGCAAGGCCTCAGGGTCAGGTGGGTGAGGAGACAGAGTTGTGATTGTTGTTATATGCTGCCAAGTTGCCTCCAAAACATATTGTGCTCCACAGCCCTGCTCAGTTTCTGCAAACGGAAGGCTGTGGTTCCCTTACAGAGTGAATCCGTCTCATTTTTGGTCTTCCTCTTCCCCTGCTGTCTATGATGATGTTTGTGATAGTCAGGTGATACAGGTCCTCTGAATATTACCTTGACCCTGGCTTGTCCAGTGATAATGAGTTTTAAATTATACAACCCGAGAATGTAGTCAGGATCCTTGGAGTGGTGAAGGCCACCATGTGTATACTAGACCCTTCTTGGCTCATAAAAAATTCAGATAAAGAGCTTCTAAAAGCAGGGATTGGCCAAGGAGATGAGAAGAAGTGGCAAATGCCTCCTTGCAGGAGGACAGGGCACCAGCATGCCTGAAAGAGGCAGAAGAGAGACCACTCTTTTAAAAAACTCCTTCCTCGAATCCCACTGTACTGGATAATTACTAGCCTGTCTCGAGTGTTTCATTTCTGGAAAAGATACTGGAGTAATGTAATGCCTTCCCAGCTCTAAGGATAAAACAGATTATCTAGATGCTTGTTAATCTGGTTTTAGGCATGGTAATAGGCCACAGATGGCTTTGGTCATCTTGGTAGATGACCTATTCTAGGAACTGGATGGAGGTCTGTGGACCTGTTGATTCTGCTGGACCTCTTGGTGGCTTTCAAAATCATTGACCACGATATCCTTCTGGAATGAATGAGAGAGACACTATCGTGCCAGTCACATGTTAATTACCTGCTACTTATGCCAACAATTTACACGATGACAGAGATGGCTTTGGTCATCTTGGTAGATGACCTATTCTAGGAACTGGATGGAGGTCTGTGGACCTGTTGATTCTGCTGGACCTCTTGGTGGCTTTCAAAATCATTGACCACGATATCCTTCTGGAATGAATGAGAGAGACACTATCGTGCCAGTCACATGTTAATTACCTGCTACTTATGCCAACAATTTACACGATTTCATCAACTCCAGGGTGAGATCTGAGTACGCTTCTGACCACCATACTTCCATACTGAAGAAAATACAATATTTGTGCTCTTATTTGATTTCTAGCCATCAACAGGCAGGAGTCCCAGATTATTAGCAGTGAAAACTGGCTAAACGTTACCCTCCTGGAATATCTCTGAAAGTTCTGCATATAAGATCTGGTTGGTTTAGGGCTGGGATTTTTTCAGAACGTACTGTACATCAGTTTGCAACATGACAACAAAACCAGAAAAGAGAGGAGCAGTTGCATATTTAGTCCCACACGACTTCTTGCCAGATCATGGATGATATGAGTTAAAAAACAGGAAACAGGCTTTTGTCTGCACAGGCAATGGTGGTAGATCATATTTGGCTACATTTATTCCCCCTTAGGATGTGCCCTAGCACCAATGTTCAAATTCAGAATTTGGATTCAGAATTACAGCCCTTCAGATTCAGAAATCGGAATTTTAAAAATTAGGAATTTCTAGACATCCCGAACTCTTTATTTTAAAACAATTTCCCTCTGGCCTCTGACGCCTTCCTAGAGTGATTGTGCTAAACAGAGTACACACCAATAGGCAGAAAAGTTCTGTGTACTGGGAAATGGGCCTTCTGACTGAACCCTGAACAGAGAGAATGCCAGAAGCATTCGGGAAGCAGAGGAAGAGGTCACCTCGGGGATTGGTCCTATACCCTGGGCCGCATGGGCAGGCAGACTGGAGCCGCAGATAGTCTGTGGCTGGGTGGGAACTGTGCCAACACCATGGGGCATAGCAGCATTGACCAAGTGAGCCCCCTTTTCATCTTCCCAGCCTGCAGGGCTTGCTCCATGGTTGCCCCATAGTCTGTGACAAACAGACCTTCCCTTTCTGCAGCCAGACTCCACTGCTGAAGCAGAGGTCCCCCAGAGCCTCTGGAATGTTGTGCCTTATAAGGCAGTGATCCCCAACCTTTTCCAAACCACGGACTGGTTCAGGGGGCAGGGTCTGTGCACAGGGAGGCACCCCAGCACATGGCATGTGGGTGGGGGGCCCTCATGCACATGGGCGGGGGGACACTTGTGCACATGCATGGATGGGTGGAGCATGGGAGAGGGTGGGGTGGGCACCCATGCATGCATGCACAGATGTCCAGGCACCCGTGTGTGCAGGTGGGCGGGCCATAGATGTGGGTGGGCGTGCATGGGAGGCATGTGTGCTGGGGGGAGAGATCTGTCTCCACAGTCCAGTCCTGCCAAGGCCACAACCCAATACTGGACTATGGACTGGGGATTGGGGATCCCTGCTGTAAGGATGTTTTATAGCCTGGCTGCTCCAGATGTCACTCATAAAATGGACCCTCTATATACCTTGATCAACTGGTCAACCAGTCGCCTGACACAGACCCAGTATAAATCTGACACTCCCCTGCTGCCAGGGGTCTTTTCAGGATGGCAACTGCTAATGAAGTATCAGTTCTGCTGCAAAATTATAGAAACCAGTGTTGTTCTCCAGCAGAGAGAACGACTGGCTCTAATTTCTAGGCAACGAGTAATCCTGGCATTTGTCTGTTTGCACAAGGCGTTTTCCTGCGCCCCTCCAAGCTCCTCCAGCAGCTACGCCATTGTGCTGAATCTTCAGGTGGCTGAGCAGGCTAGTGGTGGAGAGGCAGCCCAAGTCTTGCCCACATTTGAGCACTTCCTTGCAAGTTTCATTTCTCAAGAAATCACTCCAGGGTGCCAGAGAAACAGCTTTCTCTTTCACTTCTTCGTCTACCAAGCAGAAAACTAGCCTAGTTTGTAGATGGGGTCTCGATTTACGAACGACCCGACTTGCGAACAATTCGAGTTACGAACCTGCCCTATAGGGAAAGTAAGGACTCTACATGCGAACTTCCCTCGAGTTAGGAACAGGGAAAAAAGTCCCCCGTCCCTCCCCTTAGAGGCTTCTGGAGGGGGGAAAAGGGTCAGAAACTTAAAAATAAATACTGTACTGTTAAATAAAGTCACTTACCAGGCCTTGGTAGCCCTCAAACCACAGGAAAAAGAGCAGGAAAGAGCCTGGCAGCCATTTTGTGGTTCCCCCCCCTCCTCTCCCCGCCTAACAGCTGATCGGCTGGCTCTGAGCAGGCTTCTGGAGGCTTGCTCAGCACCTAAAAAGCCTGCCTGAGTGCCTTTGTGCTGAAAAAATCAGCACAACATGCTTTAAAACATTATTTAAAATTGGCTTCGTTTTTTAAAAAAAGAGTTCTAAAGTGCTGCCTTTAGTGTTCCCTGCCTTCCCTGAACCTAAGGGGGAAAAAGACAGAAAATATCCCCCTCTAGTGGCAGAAGGCAGAATAGCAGCTTCCCATTAGTTTCTATGGACAGAAAAGAGCAGATACGGATTAAATGGTTTTCAATGCATTCCTATGGGAAATGCAGATTCGACTTAAGAACTTTTCGACTTGAGAACCATCTTCCATAACGGATTAAGTTCTTAAGTCGAGACCCCACTGTACCCCCTTGAAATGGCCAATGGTTCCTCAGCTGGTGGGATGACAGCTATGGTATGAAGAATTTCATCAGCTATTTAAAAAACATTCAATACCATAGAATTATTTTTAAATGTCCAAAATTTACCATTTTCAAAATCTCTTACCTCAGATCTGTCACCACTACTGGAGAGAAATGTGTCTCAGAGATTCCTAAATCAGAGATGGACATTTGTGGCCCTCCAGACACTTTTTATACATTTATATACCACAACTCTCCAAATTTCCACTACTGCCTATGTAAACAAGGGCCGGTGGTAGCTGTAATTCATAAACATCTCAAAGTTCACAAGTGACAAGCCCTGGCCTAAATCCTCCACTGGAGAGTCAGAACAGTGCTCCAGCCTGATGGTATGTGTCATTAAGCTTTACAATAATAGACTTGAGGGTATTCCCCTAAAACTGTTGATCGATCACAATTGTTTGCAATTCTTATAACAAAAACCAAACCATTCCTAAAACCAATGTATTGTGATAACCATCTCACTCCATCTCTTATTCTATGTATCATAGACAAGAAATTGTAAGAACTCATTGTGGTTTTTGGAGTGCCTTGCACACTACATTTTTAAAAAATTAAAACAGAAGTGTTGTAGAGTCTGTGATATGAATTAGATTTACTGTATATTGATAGGTTTTCCATGAACACTAATTTATACTACTTGGCCAGATTTCTCATTATAGCCCCTAATTGCTTGTGCTATGTCTTACTTCAATAATACTTTATCTGGTGAAAAGTGCCTAGTATACAGTGTATACAAGTTTGTGGCCTAAATATCATACATCATGTGTCTGAGGAACTGGACTGTAATCCATGAAATTTTATGGATTACAGGGGCCACAATACTTTTGTACTAATTAAAAGCCTGTGATAGGAAAGGCACACCCAAAGGGTGATACCACATGTATCACAATTTCCCCTTCTCTGATGATATATGTGCACAATCCACCTTTCCACGTGCAGCAGTGCCATTACATCTGCCCATGTTAAGGTCAAAAACGTATATTATACATAGCCACATCATTAACTAAGGAAAGTGTATTAGTATTAGAGCTGGAGCTTTTCTGACCTCCGACAGCATGCAAATTAGCTATTCTGCTTTCAACAACCAGTCTGTGATGCAGGTGTTCAAACCGCGGCTGCATGCGGGTTTTCCAAGAAAATATTATACTGAAATTTTATTTTTGGGGAAAGCAGTGCATCTAATTAGTTTCTAAGAATATAGCCACCGAATGCATCTGGGTGAAGCTTTTGCATGGTAGCTGCTTGCAGTTGCCAACACTGGATATTCATTCAGCTGCACCCATGGAGAAAGAGTGAACAAAGTAATTTCAGCAATTGAACTGAAGGTCCCTGCGATTGTTTCAGCTTTTGCCCAAACCAGGAAGTGGGAAGGAAAAAAAAAAAAACAAGCAAGTTCACCATCATCTTGCAGAATGAAACCGGAGACAAGTGTTGAGTACTCAGTAACACAGTGAGAAGCTTAAATATTTATAAATATTTTCCCACTCATGTGTAATGTGTGAAGCAATAACTCAAGTCCTTCTCCCACATTTGAAAAATTACTTTTTGGGTTATAGCTTCCAGAGAATCCTGGGAAGGGAACTGTAAGACTGTAATTTTAAAAAAGTAACTTTCCCATCTCCAGAGAAATGCATTTGATTCTGAAAAGCAGGGGAATTCTCCCAGGGAGCTGAAGCTGCTTTTATATAGGTTTCTGCTTACCTGCTGCAGCTATCCACATGAATGTCCCCTATGTCACATATCTGTATGAAACTTACAAACTACTTGTTTGAATTCTGATTAAAGGTATCCTTCTTGTCAGTTTAATCTAATTTTGCTACTTTGATCATCTAATCTCTCACGGACTCCACAAAACACAGGAAGCTTCTGAGACCCAATCAGAAGTGGGTCCAACCAGAATTGAACCAGCCCAGTCCAATCCTATGACTGACAGCAGCTTTTCTCCAGGGTGCGGGGAGGGGGGAACTTTCCCAGCCCCAGCCTGGAGACGCCAGGGAGTAAGCAGAGACGTTGGCATGTGATGTCGGTGCTCCTGCCACCCAGCGATTGCATCGCCTTTCCCTCCGAAGATAATGCTAGCCACCCATTGAATAAGCATATCCGTATGACCAGGAGGGCAAAACCCTGATGGAAAGGGCTCCGAGCATTACTGCAGATGCCTATGAGGAGAAAAAATCCCCTGAAGGAAAAGGGGGAACAGAGGAGAGAGAATAACTGCATCGCAAAAAACAACTCTGACCCAAGTAGAGAAGAACAACCTACCCTCAGTCCGGGGAAGGATGCTAAGCCTGGACCCTTCCTCTTCCCCCAGGGATCCTAAGCGGCTGGGTGCCTTTTTGCAGGCACTTTCCTTTGGGTGTCCCCCCCCGCCTCCCTCCACGGCGACTCCTTGACGGGGGGAGGGGAGCTGGGCAGGATGATCCAGAGGGTCCCTTTTCTGCTCTGCAGTTCTAAGGTGTTGGTGCTGGTGGTTGTTACAAAGATGCCGTGTGGGACCGAAAACCGGCGTGCTTTTCCTCCAGGCCACCCCCCCCCACCCCCCCCCACCCCGCCTCTTCCTCGCTGGAGGGATGCCGTCTTCATCTCTTCTCTTGCTGGAAAGAACCGAGGCAGGAAGAGAGGGCGAGAAACCTCCGCGAAAAGTACTAAGAAATAACCCACCCGGGTGCCCCTCCCCCCCAACACTCTAAAGATGGAACAGCTACTACTTTCGTTTCCTACACAGAGAGAGAGAGAGAGAGGATCCCGCCCTAAAGGCTCTCCTTATCTGGGAGCCTCGAGCGCGAAAGGCTGCAGGCACCCCTACCTCCCGGATGACTTTGCCAGGGAGCGCCAGGTCCATCTGGGCAGGCGATCCCCCTGTTACCCACAGCGGCTTTGGGGACATCCCTGTTCAAAGATCGTTTGCGATCGAGCCCGTTCCTTCCTAATCAGCATCTCGCGCGTTTACTATTTGGGAAGCTATCCAGGGACCGTCCTCCCACGACCCCAGGTAAGGCACTTCTTTGCGGCCAGCCCTGGCCCAGGTCCTTGTGCAGCAACAGGAAGAAACTGCCTTAGGGCATTGGATTTGAGAGCGGGCGCCCTGTTGCCTTTACTTACTCCTATGGACTCCGTTTGCCAAAGATGCTGTGTCTCAGTTATTACAACAGGAAGAGGAGAGTTTCAGCCATTAGGGCCCTAGGGGGTAGCAGGGAGACGACACCCGCCCCCATCAGGATGAGCCATAGTGTACCAAGATTCACAGGTTTCATCCTGATTTTAAAAAGAAGGTGAGATTTCAATCAGGCAAAACAGGCAGCTGCTTTTTTTTTTTTTTTTTGCATTTGTTTTGTAAGCAATTGCCTAGGATGTTTCCTGCATCATCTCCCAGGTCAGGGGTGGGCAATTAATTTCTATAGGGGGCCACATGAAAAATCTGAACTGTGTTCGGGGGCTGAACCAACTTTACTTAAAAATGAAAGATAAGCAACTGATCAACTTTAGACAGAAAGCTATAAATGGTTTTGATGTTCAACATGTTCTGTGAGAGAAATCCAGTCTGTCTTGGGCTTGAACGAAGTGCTTGAACACCGGACTGGAGTGATAACCGACAGGCCGGGCAGGAGCGGCTCGCGGGGCATATGTGGCCCTCGGGCTGCACTTTGCCCAGGTCTATCCTAGGGCCTAAATTAGAGTTATGCATGAGTGCATAAAATCCAGGCAGGGACCTACAGCGCAGATTATTATAATTACAAGTCTTCCTCAAATATTAGCCCTTAGTTTCTAGTTAGATTTACTTTGGGTGGCAATAGTCTCAATAAATTCAGACAGACCACTGTTGAGAAAGAATTTTAAAAAAGTTTCTATTTTACTGTCAAAATCTTTGTATATGTCCGAATAACAAACAAAACCTATTTACTTGTTACATAGTATGAGATCTGAACTTGTTAACTTCATTACTTTGACTGACTGTCTTGGTGTTTACATATATACTTCACTCATACTCTTATCTGCTGACTCCATAACTCCATATCATGCAGAACACTGGTAGGGCCCTAATTCTGACTCAGAATCCTGACTGAGTAAAAAAAAAGATGAGGAAAACAATTTGAGGAAGAGGAAGCCACTGACTTGTTACTGTGGGACTGACATTCAACCCCAAAGTCCCTCCCATCCAAATATCTTAAAGGCATAATACATAAGTTGCTATATTTCAACTATCATTTACAAGATACAGGCAGAGAGTGAGATCTGAAGAGGAGAGGGGGGAAGGCAACTACAGGAAGGGGTCGGAGCCATGACAGGGGGCCGGGAGAGATGGAGAAACAGCGACAAAGAAGCCGAAGGAAGGAAGGGATACATACACCAAGAAAAGACAGAGTGGAGCAAGAGAATTGAGAAAGCACTCATAAAAATGAAAGAGAGAGAGAGAGAGAGAGCTTCTCCAGAATGTCTTGAGGCTGTGGCAATCCAAAGGAACTCCTTCCCCCACCTCCATTTGTTTATTCCATTTTTAGGTATTTAGAAAGTGCAAACCCATGTCTGTTTATTTCAAAGTGAGCCCCCAAAGGGGATATTCCTAACAGGTGATCTTAACCTCCAGTTCTGTGCCTCTGAATTCATCAGTAAATCTCACTGGATAAACAGGACTTACACTTAGACAAGGGGGGGTAACATTAGGACGGCAGCCTTACCACAGGAAGAAGTGTCCCTAAATTTGGCGGGACTTTCTTTTGAGTAGGTAGGCAGGCAAGATCACTTGGACAACATGCAAACACAATATTCAGGAGGAGCATCTGAATGCTTCTGTGTTCAGATGTAGCCTGTAGCCTCCTCTTTACGTTGACCACATAAAAGTATCAAACAGACATGCATTGGAATTGTCTGTAACCTGCTCAGAACACAGTCCTATTGAATTTCCTATGGCATATTCTCAGGTGAGCTTGTGTAATGGCTTCAAAGTTTTACAGTAGTATATACAGTGGTACAGTACTTATGTTAGTTCAACTTGAAAAGTGGACATTCAGTGAGATATAGATTAAGTATGAATTGGCCATCATTATCATCATCTTGGAACTGCAGAGCTGGAAAAGACCCTATGGATCACTGAGTCCAGCCCCTGCCAAGGAGGCCCAGGGGGGAATCGAACTCCCATCCTCTGGCTCCTCAGCCAGAGACAATCAAACACTTTTTAAAACTTACATATATTAATATAAGAGAGAGAATGTGATGTAGTGGATACAAAGTTGGGTTAAGACTCAGAAGACCTCAATTCAAATCCTTGCTAAGCAGGGGGAGGCAATAGTAAACCACTCATTCAAGATTTTGCAAATATCGATTTAGGGTCACCATAAATCAAGTCGACGTGACCACATGTACAAATACTAAAATCACTGAAATATACCGTATTTTTTGCTCCATAAGATGCACTTCCCCCCCCCAAACAAAGTGGGGGGGGAGTCTGTGCGTCTTATGGAGCGAAGGTGGCGATTTCGCCCCCACTGGCCCCATGGGGGGGAGCCCCGCAAGGGTCCTGGAAGGCTCACTCGGACCCTTGGGATGCTCCCCCCTACAGGGCCAGTGGGGGTGAAATTGCCACTTTCGCTCCATAAGACGCATAGACTTCCCCCCCCACACTTTTTTTGGGGGGGGAGTGCATCTTATGGAGCAAAAAATACGGTATATTTCAGTGATTTTAGTATTTGTACATGTGGTCACATCGACCACCCTTTTCGTGGTTTTCTAGGTAAAGAGTACTCAGAAGGGTTTACCCTTCCCTTCTTCTGGGGTGTCCTGGGTTTGTGCAGCTTGCCCAAGGCTACACAAGCTGGGTCTGCTCATAGGAGGCACAGTGAGAATCAAACTTCCAACCTTTGGCTCCAGAGCCAGATACATAAGCCACTTCGCTACTACTCTAATGAAATGTCTGAATTATACTTCTTGGGAGGTTCCCACTCACTAAAAGGATACTGTTTCCCTGATCCTTTGGGCATGTCATATCTTGAAATCGATCTTATGCACCACTGTCACTTTAACTAAAATATTTTGCAACATGTAAAAGATGGTTTCTAGATCTTTAACAATTAGGGACACATTTTGTTTTTCATTTGTTTCTTTTCTCAGGTTAACTATCAAAATTAAAACAAACTTTCTCTTCGTTTGACATGAAATGAGCAAAGCATACTTGGAAGCAGTAAGGTATGTGTGAGAGTTCCACTATCCATTTCTCACTTTTAAATGAACTTTGATGTCCATAATTGTACAGAATTCAAGGTAAATTTAATGTTGTTTCTATTTCTGTACAAATTTAAAAAAATAGTTTTCTACTATAATACTTTGTACACATTTTGGCACTATCTATTTATCTATGTTAGTGTAATACAAAATAGCACAAAATGTGAAAACTTTTTTGCCCTTCAAAAAGGGCAAAAAAGAAGAACCTGGGAATTACACGCCAGTCAGCCTGACATCAATCCCAGGCAAAATTCTGGAACAGATCATAAAGCAATAATTGTGCAAGCACATAGAAAATAATGCAGTAATAACTAGAAGCCAACACAGATTTGTCAAGAACAAATCCTGTCAAACTAATTTGATCTCGCTTTTTGATCAGGCAACCTCCCTGATAGACAGAGGGAATGCTATAGACGTAGTATATCTTGACTTCAGCAAAGCTTTTGACGAAGTACCCCATGATATCCTGATTAGCAAGCTAACTAGGTGTGGGCTGGACAGATCAAGTGTCAGGTGGATACACTATTGGCTACAGAATCATACTCAGAAAGTGATGATTATGGGTCCTTCTCTAACTGGGAGGAGGCAACAAGTGGAATACCCCAAGGCTCAGTCTTTGTCCCGGTGCTCTTCAACATTTTTATTAATGACTTGGAGAGGGAGTGCAGGGATTGCTTGTCAAATTTGCAGATGATACAAAATTGGGCAGAATAGCTAATACCCCAGAACAGAGGTTGTCAATCCCCGGTCCACGGCCTGGGGCCGGTCCGTGGCCTGAGCTGGACCGGGCCGGAAAGACAGACCTCCCATCCCCCGCATGCACTCCCCTCCCCACAGCTGCTTTGCGCACATTCCAGTGCCAGCATGAGTGCTCCCCCGCCCCTTCGCACATACGCAGGTGCGCCTGCACACCTGAACTTGACAGAATGGAGCACTGGGCCGAAAGCAACAGAATGAAATTCGGCAGGAATAAATGCAAAGTACTGCACCTCGGAAAAGGAAACCAAATGCACAGTTACAATATGGGGGATACCTGGCTCAGCAAAAAATGAGTGAAAAGGATCTTGGAATTGTCGTAGATCACAAGCTAAATATGAGCCAACAGTGTGATGTGGCTACAAAAAAGGCAAATGCTATTTTAGGCTGCATTAATAGAAGTATAGTTTCCAAATCCTGTGATGTGCTAGTCCCCCTCTATTCAGCACTGGTTCGGCCTCACCTTGAGTATTGTGTATTCTGGACACCACATTTCAAGAAGGATGCTAACAAAATGGAACAAGTTCAAAGGAGGGTAACAAGGATGAAACCAAGCCTTATGAGGAAAGGCTGACAGAATTGGGCTTATTTAGGCTTGAGAAAAGAAGACCGAGGAGTGATATGATAGAACTTTTTAAATGTTTGAAAGGCTGTCGTACAGAGGAGAGGCAGGACCTGTTCTCGATCATCCCAGAGTGAACGACATACAGCAATGGGCTCAAAGGAAGCCAGATTTTGGTTGAATATCAAGAAAAAATTCCTAACTGTTAGAGCAGTACAGCAGTGGAACCAGTTACCTCGGGAGTTAGTGAGTGCCCCAATACTGGAGGCATTCAAGAAAAACTTAGATAATCACCTGGCAGATATGCTTTGGTTGTATACCTGCACTGAGCAGGGGTTGGACTTGATGGCCTTGTAGACCCCTTCCAGCTTCACTTTTCTGATATCTCACGACTATGAAAAACAAAAGCAATGAACACATAATGCCTCTCACGTTTTTATTTTCCTTTTCAGCTCTACTTATTAGCAAAAGGAGAAACTGGACTTGAAAAACAAAATGGGTAAGTTCATCTTCTTTTGGCAACTTACACCTATTGCTTAGGAATGGGACTTTTTAAACTACAAATCCTATAATTCTCCATTATGAAAGTTCTACCTGACAGACAAATATATTACAGACACTAAAAGGTAGCTCACCTGGGAGAGAGGTCTGAACTTCCTATTCCTGCCCCAGTGATAGTTGGGAGATTTCTTTCTCAAGAGGAGGTTAAGTGGAGCAAACTTTAACTAAACCTCAAAGCCTATCAGATTAAGCCTTTCTTCCAAGTAAACCACATTTAGGCATCTGTTAAGTGTCTGCCGATTAAGCAGAACTCCCAGAATGGATAATCGTGGAACATTTAGTTCAAAATAGCAAAGCTTCACATTCCTATTATTGCTTCCTGTTTTACCTGCCTGCCTAGACTGTCACTCAGTGAGCTTCATGGTTGAGTAGAGATTTGAACCTGCATCTCCACAGTTCCAAGCAATTACTCTGACCTACTGATTCCAAAACTTGAGATAACAAATGTTCTTGGACTACAATTCCCTGAAGCCCTGGCTAGAACAATTGCTGGTTAGGGTTTCTGGGAGCTGTAATCCAAAAATTAAGAGTTTGGGAACCTCTGTCCTAAGTACTTCATTATGCCAGCCTTCTCCTTAACTGTAAGAAGGGGCTTGTGTTTCAGTAATTGCCATGCCCCATTGTGTGCAACGCAAGCCATGTACAACTGGATACGGGTACTCCTCTAGAAAAAGGAAATTCCTAGACAGCACAAAACTGGTGATGGCTGCTATTGCAAAGAGAAGGAGGTTCACCTCTCAACACAAGGAGAAATGGTTGTCGATGGAAGCCAAGGGACTCATTCTTGTTCAGCATAGCTCAAGATGGAGCATTAACATAATACAACACAGCTTGACTTGCCAATCTCAGAATTCTTGTGTTTGTGCACATATGTTTAACTTTAAAAGCAGAAAGTGAAGAAGGAGGCTCAAACTGAGATAGTTTCCTCTCTTAGCCACTCTGGAGAATGAAGATGAAATGAAAGGATGTAGACCAGCAGAGACTGCTCAGATTTGTCACATAGACAAAACCGTGCATTTAGACGAATGGTAGCCATGAAAATGCCCCTAATCTTATACTTTGTGACTAGGAACAACGACTCTTTAAGTTCTTTGGGGAAAGGAGATACCACTGGACACCAGCAGAATACTCCCGTCTCTATTTATTACCATTGTGTTGGTGCTACAGAACCACTTCTTGTCATATGAGAACTGGGTCTATAGTCTTTCACAAACAGATTCAAAGAATTTAATTGCATCTGTATCCTGTTGTTAACTGGAATGTCATGCACTGTAGTTAGTGGGTGGGACAGAGGAGCAGTTTATTGCATATTGAGCTAATGTGTCTCTCTGTGTGTGTGTGCACATGTTACAAGGTTCACTGGACAAGGTCCATACAGTGGCTCTTTGCTATGCTACCTGGTTTACGAGTCTGCTATTATAGCATTCGTTTCCTCTCCACTGCACTCTCTCTCATTACAAGGAAATCTACCATATAAAGAGGATATCCCTAAAGTTTCCTGCCGCTTGAGGACATGGGATTAATTGTCCTTGTCAGAACAACTATTTTTATACTTGTCTATTGAAGTAATAAAACATATTCATTACAAAGGGTACAGATACATATAAAGAATGGCTTTTTGTTGTAAAATATACAAAAGCAGCAACTAGGAGAGCAACTAAGAGAAGAGTTGCTGTATACAGTACATGTATTTTAGAATTTGGTATCTGTTGTAAGAAACAGCCATGTAATGTAGCAGTTAGAAGGCTGTTTGCCATTTTAGACAGACAGCTGCTGAATAATTTCATAGAATCATAGAAAAGTGAAGTTGGAAGGGGCCTACAAGGCCATCAAGTCCAACCCCCTGCTCAGTTCAGGAATACAGTACAATCAAAGCATATCTGACAGGTGATTACGTTTTTCCTGAATGCCTCCAGTGTTGGAGCACTCACCCACTACCGAGTTGAAGTTCACACTTCTTCACACTTCTAAAGTAATTTATTTCTTAGAGATGTAGGGAATAACATGAAAAGCAGAAAATAGTCATTATCTTGCCATAAATAAAGCATCCAACTGTTTTTAAATAATTTAATCTCCAGCTCGTATGCCCTTGATACAAAGAAGAAACAAGAAGTGTTCATGTCTGTGAAACATGACTAGCCTAGCAGGAGATATTTTTCATTCCATATCTTATAATTACTGGTAATGAATGACCTATTAATTTTCTATAAGTTCAATTTAACTGAAACATGCATGGAAATTTTCTTATGTAAGAAAGACATTTCACGCCATAGTGAAACATATTGGTTTTATTTTCAGATTACAAAAAACTGCCTCTGGATGAATGGCTTGAGCATCATGTTAGCTGCTGGTTGGAGTCCACTGGAATTAAGAAGGAGTATGTAGAAAAACTCTATGAAGAGGAAGTAACTGGCCCAACGCTTAAAGTATTAGATGAACCGTTCCTCAAGAAAATGGGCATGAAGAAAGGCCAGATTCAACTACTTATGAAGAAGAGAGATCAACTTCTGGAGGAGAACACGGGCAAAGATTTTACCCCTGAGGACGTCAAGAAGGCAGATGAATCAGACAACAACAACAAAAATTCAAAGAAGGAAAAACAGAAAAAACAAAAACATAGATCGATGGTTTCATCAACTGAAGAACAAAAAGATGACCTAGAAGAAATCAAACATGAACAAACTGACATTAAGTCAACTCCTTTAAGGCACAGAGCTTCAAAACTACAGTGCTCAGGTGAAAAAGATATGGCACACACAATTGCTGCAGCTAGCAACACAGAAACCGTAAGGGATACCTCTGCTCTGAATGAACCACTACGCCTCAGTCCGTTCAGGCCATTCAACAGGGACAGTGTTAATTTTAAATATATTAGCAATACAGTACTCTCTCCGGAAACAGGTGTCAAAGATCTAATTACCCCTTGCCATGAATACAAATCCTTTGTTACAGCTGCTAGGCTGGACAGAACAAGACTGCAGGCAAAGTTTGCCCATGAATTGATCAAGTTTGCCTCTGCTTGCCTGAATGTCCGAACAAATGGCACCATTCACTTTGGTGTTGTGGACAGTGTTGAAGAAAAGGGCTGGGCGCATGGGCAGATTGTTGGAGTACCCATAAGAGACAGAGACATGTATGTGGATGCTTTAGATTACATAGAAAAATGTTTTGATTCAGATTCTCAGGAGGCTGCAAGACTGTGCATTCATCCTCCTGTTTTTATTGAAGTGATTCAGAGAGACAGTCGTGAGCAATTCTTTGTTGTAGAAGTTGACATAGAACCATTATCTAGCATTGTAAAAGGGAAGTTATTTCAAGTACGTATACCCAGTTTTAATGAACAAAATAACAAGGTAAACTATGAAAAGACAAATGGCTTTGAAAGAGTAGGTACAAGGTCTCAGCCAATAAAATATGAAAATCCAGTGCGTTTCACTGAGGAGTTGCAGGAGAAAGACTCTTGGAGAGAAAAGGCTGAAACGTCTGCTCATGGCAATCAAATAGAAAGTCCTCAAAATTTAGGTCGAAAGTTATCTATTCTGTTGACAGATGGCAAAAACTGCCTAGATAGCTCTATGTGGTATATTCTTGTTACAAACAAATGTGGGGAGGAAGACCTCAAGTCTATTAACTTTTTGATGCACATGAATATTTTCTGTGTATTTGATTTTGATGAAGATTCAAATGTGTCAGGTTTGTATTCCAAGTACAAAGAACATCATGCAACCAGTTCTCATTTCTTGAAAAATTACTCCAATGATAGCAAGATGAGCACCACTGAATTTCAAAAACATCTCTGTCTGTTTGTGAAGAAAAGCTGGATATTTTGCAATGGACGCAGCGACTTTCTTGGAAATGAAGAAACTTGCGATGAAAATACTTGGATTAGAACTAGAAGGAAGTATCTGAAAAAAGCAGTATCTTTTATCTGTGATGACGTTCTCCCAAAGGGATCTTTTCTGGTGATTTTCCTTCTCTTGTCACCTGTGGAGAAACCGATGGTAGAGACCTTCCATGAATTTTACAGTGAAATGAATGGCATGGATTTCATAATATGTCTTGCTGAGTCTAAAGAAAACTATGATAAGTGGGCTAATCTAGCTCAGGCATCCTGCAGCAGCATTGAAACCCTAAAACAGAAAAGTATTGTAGGTATGAAGCTAAGCCATGTGGATGCTACTGTTCAAAATATGTTGCCTTCTACAACAAATTATGGACATTTGCCAGTTTCTACAAAGGGGATATGTTCACTTCCCCCTCTGGAAAAAGAGAAAATGTATTCTCTTGAAATATTATGTGCTGATCAGTGTGATGATATCAAACTGGATCTTCTCAGTGCAAAAGAAATAGAGGAAATAGATGAGCATTTTTATCGGGGTAAAAAGGTTAGCTGGAAGAATTTCTGGCTTGCTGATAAAAGAAAATGTGAGGAAATTATTGAGCGGGAAGCTTGTAAAGAGGCTTCTAGAATGCTGAATGATATTTTGTGGGGGAATCAGTTCAGGTATCCAGTGACTAAACTGAAAGTATTCCATCATCCTGGAAGCGGAGGAAGTACTGTCGCAAGACAAGTGTTGTGGAAACAAAGGAAGGATTTGCGATGTGCCGTCATCAGAACAATGTACCCAGTTGCCACTGTCTGCCAGCATGCAGTTGACTTCCGACATTATGATGAAAGAGATCTCAGGAGTTCTCTCCCTGTCCTTCTTTTGGTGGAAGATTATGATGAAGAATATCTAGATGAGTTATATTATTCTTTAACTGATGCCATGGGACCGAATATCCGCCATCCTTCCAGACCTTCGTTCATCCTCCTGTGCTGTAAACGGTCCAACGTCCCCAATAAGCTTTGCAAAGCTTCTCATCAGGATACAGTTGCTGTTACTCATAAATTGACAGACCAAGAGAAAAATCTATTTGAAAGAAAGCTAGAAAAATTTGAAAAGCAGAAGGATTTCAAACTGGAGTACATCATTACGTTTGTACTTATGAGCAAAGAATTTGAACCAACATATGTGAGAGAATTTGTAGAACACTTGCTCAAAGATATAGACTTTTCTTCTCGTGTAACAACACTGATGAGATATGTTGCCTTACTCAATTTCTATGTGCATAATTCATACATCTCTTTATCCCACTGTGAAGCTTTCCTGGGACTCATGCCTTATGAAGAAATGACAGCGAGACAACATGATTTCATAAGTAACTTAAGTGAACAGGCACAGCTTATTTTCATTGAGCTGAGAGAAACTACCACTTATATTACATCCATTCAAATAATACACCACCTTGTTGCAAAGGAAATACTGAATCAGCTCTCAGAAAGTCGGCCTCAGAGTAAAATTGCCATGGAACTTCTCCAAGAAAAAGCATTTCTTCAGCATAGGTTTGGGCGGGAGGAATTCCTAAAGTTCATCAGAGATCTGTTTATAAAGCGTGACAAAAAGAGTAGAGGAGATAACACCGATAGCCTGTTTTCTCCATTCATCGAGCATGTTTGTAACACCGAAGACCCTGAAAAAGCTATAGGGGTTTTAAAGCATGCTTATGAATGTCTGGGAGAAGATGCCTTTTTTGCCCAACAACTTGCTAGGTTACATTACAATTATGAAAAGTTTGATGATGCAAAACAGTGGGCAGAAAAAGCCAGATCTCTTTTGCCAACAGATTCGTTTATCCTGGACACAGAAGGGCAGGTATATAGGAAGTGGTTTAGCTTTAGAGTGGACAAAATGTCAAATGAAGCCACTCCTGAAGACATCATTCAAACTATCGAAATAGCCCTTAAAGCAATGAAATGTTTCCGAGCTGCACAACAGGCGGCAAAGTCTGAGAAAGATAGCATGAATAACTCAGGTTATTTTGGAGAAGTAGAAGTGGGATGTCGTTTATTGAAGCTACTATCGACACTTGATGTATTCCCTAAAACTGCAAACAGAGAACATCCTGAACTTGTCCAATATTTACTTACCGATTACATTCCAGAAGATATAAAAAAGCCTTGGGGAAAACTTCATAGTCGCTTAAAAGGCTTACGACAGAACATCTACAATGCTTTGGATTGGATCTCAGAAGATCTGAGTTATTTCCAAACAGATAAAAACCAAACAGATGAGGATGATGAGAAAGAAGAACAAGTTCACAATCCTCGACGATGGCTCAAAAGACAATGCACAGTATATGCAATGTTCTTTAGTTCAGAAACACTGCTTGAAGAAAATGGTGCGGGATCTAAAACCCAACTGATCCGACAAATGCATATTTATAAATATGGTGGTGGAAATGTCACCACTATTCTGTCATTTCTGTCAGATAAGAATGATAAGAAAGCAATTCAAAGTCTTGAAAAAATAATAACCTTATACTCAGAAGCCCCACAGAAAGACAGCCTAGAGGACACAGACCGTATACATTATATATTATGTCATTTTACCCTAGCATGTCTGGCACCTGGCTCTTCCAGGCTCCTTGACCTTCGGACGCTCCGAGAACTCAGCAAGCCATTTTATAAAAAGAGAAAAACCACATTTCCCGCCAGTGCTCATTTTTTGCTTACTCTACTTTACTGGCCTGATGCTGCCATGGACAAAGATTCTAACTCAGAAAAAGATGATATCTTAAAATCAGCCCTTGATACATTAAAACGCTTACATGACATCAAAATTAAAGATGTTGCTCCAAGGAGGAAAAGAATCTACACCATCTTTTTCTTGGGAAAAGGCTATGGCTTAGGAAAGATTGTGCCCAAGGTGAAGATTGACAAATTAATGAAAGGTTCTCTGGATGAGCGGCGAAAAATGTGGCAAAATGGCGGAGTGTGGAAAGTAGGGGAAGTACATACAGTGCTTGAGAGGGTGAATGGGTGGACAGAAGATGGCAGAGTTTTCGCAATGGGTCACACAGGACGAATTCCAATTCTGCCTTTGCATTTTGATTCAATGCCACCTGGAAATGAAAATGTAAAGTTCTATGTAGGTTTCTCTTTTAATGGTCTTGTTGCCTATGATATTCAGGTAAAAATGTAGAAAATAAATATCCAGTATCCTGTAAGGCTTCAGAAACTTGGGTGCCTAAAGAAATACGAGTTTGGATGCAGACTTGGTCCTGGAACTACTAAAATATGCAGTTCTTCAATTAGTCAAATTTAACTTGTCCCATTCATTTCACAGGGTTAACTAAGCATGGCAAAGTGTCAGTCCAATCTAAGGCACATTTTTCTCTTCAGTCACAGATTCCATCTCTTCTGAGTAGTTCTCTTCTGAGTGGTGCAGAACTACCGGTATTTTAATATGTTAGAGATAATACTCTGGGATTTACAAAAATATTTAATCAGGTATTGTGAGAGCCAAAATCCATTTAATCTCAGTGTCTGTGAAGAATTAGGATTCCTTGCTGTTGAAATCAATGTGCTTAGCTCCATTAACTCTGTGTAGAATTGCAGTGCTTAATGTTTTTATTTTCATGATATTTTATATTTTTTAAATTTTCATTATATTTTACATATTAGATAAAGCTTAGCCTACCTGTCTATTACATTTTTACTGAGAGATGCTGTAGTGTTGGCTCCATCTGTTTGTTACATTCTTTAAATTTTTACTTATATACTTGAAACATCTTCAGTATACTTTGGTTTACAATGCCTCAGTTAACGTAACTTTCAGTTTGTGAACGGAAATCCATTTAAAATAATGCCTCAGTTTACATATTTTCCCGCAGTACGAAGTAAGTTTCCCCAGGATGTATTGTGCCTTAGAGGTTTATAGCGCTGCCCCTGTTCCTATGGCAATCCACGTCTGGGTTCATGAATTTTTCGCATTATGTAACATCCCGCATTAATTTTGTAAATCGAGGTAGTACTGTAATAGTAATAACCATGTGCTGTTGAGTCAATTCTGACTTATGGCAACCCTTTCCAGTGTTTTCCAGCTAGAGAATACTTAGAAGCCGTTTACCATAGTCCCTTCTTCTGGGGGCACCCTAGGGTCTGTGCTGCTGGCCCAAGGCTACACGAGTTGATTCTTCTCCCTGAAGGCACAGTGAGGGGAATTGAATCCCCAACCTCTAGCTCCGTAGCCAGATAGGTGTACCTAACTCTTACCTAAATGCTGTAAGCCGCCCAGAGACCTTTGGGTAGTGTGAGCGGCATATAAATAAAATAAAGTAAAGTAA